GCTAAAGTAAGTAGGGTGCTAGCGCTCTAATTTTCTTGAGAAATATAAGCATGACCTTTAATGAGTCAGTACTTATCTGAAATTGTGTTAAAGACACCCCAAAAGCAATGACGTGTGTATATTTCTTTATATATCGGTATGGATTAAATAGGAATGGTTCATCCACTGCTCCTCTGTTTCAAGTGGCCTGTGAGTCAGATGGAGTAAATGCCGTAGGAAGAGTGGCTCTTCCCTTTTGTCAGCCTCTGTCTTTCACCTTGCCTTTCTGTTCCAAGAATGTGTGTTTATAATAGTGTTCAACACTGTAATTATAGAAACACTTAGTCATCATTAAGGCCATCTTGCATTCTCCTATAAAACAGTTACAGCAGTTTGATATTAATGTGTTTATCTAATGCACGTTTACAGTTATAGCTAACTGTAAACCCTCTAGCGGTAGTCCAGTAAAGGTGTCTTCAGAAAAATATGCCCCAACAGCATATTACTCCATTGGCAAGGTGTTGGCAGCGGGGTGGGGGGGCTGCAGGAGCGCCCTCTGTGAGAAGAGAGCAGGGGCTGCCCCATGTTGAACGTGTCCCGTTCCAGCCGGCTCCAATGGACCCACCGTGGGGCACAGCTGAGCCCCTTACTGACGCTGGTGGCACCTCTGGGACAGCACATTTCAGGGTGAAAAACTTTGGGCAGCAGGTGTGAGAGAAAGGAGTGAGAAAAATGCGAGAGGCACAGCCTTGCAGACACCGAGGTCAGAGGAGGAGGAGGTGCTGCAGGTGCCAGAGCAGAGATCCCCCTGCAGCTCGTGGATGAGACCATGGTGAAGCAGGTTGTCCCCTGCAGTCCATGGAGCACCATCCCAGAGCAGGTAATCCATGCTTTAGCCCATGCAGGACCCTGTACTGCAGCAGGTTGGACATGCCCTGAAGGAAGCTGTAGCCTGTGGAGAGCCCACACTGGAGCAGGCTGCTGGCAGGAGCTGTGGCCTGTGGAGAGGAGCCCATGCAGGAGCAGGCTCTCTGGCAGGAGCTGCAGCCTGAGGGACACCCAAACTGGAGCAGTACGTTCCCAAAAGACTGTACCTGTAATAAGGAGCCATGCTGGAGCAGTTCCTGAAGAACTGCAGCCCACGAGAGAAGGACCCACCAAGGAGCAGCTCTTGAAGGACGGTCTCCTGTGGGAGGGACCCCACGCTGCAGCAGGGGAAAAGCATGAGGAGTCATCTAGTTGGTAAATTTTCAGGGAGAGTTCTTTATGCTTTCCTTCATGTTGCCTCACTGTTGGGAGGTGCTCCCTTTAAACACATATTTGGCTGTCTCATTGTTTTCAGAACTTTGTCATTGTGTCTGTTACCAAAAAATGTTGTGGCTGAATCCTTTCACACTGTTCTAATCAGTACTGTTTCCTTACCTCATTTGTTTGTTCCATTTTTTATTTTGTGTTTACCCAGGAGTTCTTGTTTAGTGCTCCAAGGTCCTGTGATAATGCAAATAAACAGTCTTCTGGAGGTTTTCTTCCTGCATTTCTAATCTGATTTTTGGTTGACCTCCCAGATCTCGATTTCTTTCTCTGGCCTATGCCTGCCCTATCCTCATTCCATAATCCCATTTATGCTCATGTTCCATCCAATTCATCATGGCCTGTCAGCATTTCGGCCTTGTGGTGTTCCCACAGAGCGTTCTGGTACTTCACATTAAAACTCAGAACTATTGCTTATTCCGAGATGTTTATAGGAAGGAATGCGGGCCGAGTGCGTGAGACTGCAGTAGCGAAGCCATCTCGCTGACGCCTGGCAGTGTATCCTAGAAGG